TGCAAACTTTATATAATCGCATTTCCTATACATGTAGAAATGTGGGATATTGTATAGTTCTTTAATTTCATCAAATATAGTCTTTTTAAAAATGCAGGATAATCTTTCGGTGAAAATTTTATATGACCGTATTTATGTTTTATATAAAATAGACATGTGCATAAATCCATAACTCGACGTCTAAACTCAATCTAAACCAAAAAAAATTGAATCCGTAACCGGTCAAAAATCTAAAATATATCAGAATGAGTTTTGTAGGGTGGTACAAAATATATCCAAATCAAAATGTTATTAGCCAGACCCGAACGAATAACCCAAAAACCAAAAATTCTGAATCGATCTGAATGTCCAAATTAATCATAAATATAAATATTTGAAACATAAATATCTAGTTTAAATATTCAGTTTTATATTTATTTTAAAATGATATTTAAAATTAATTATCTAAATTTTAACTAAGTACTTTAATATCCAATTCTATAAAAATAAGTATCTTTCTTTTGTTTTGGTTTTAGATTTTAGATTGTCAAACCAATATAACCCGAATCCGAACGATATATGGTTACTTTATCGGTTTTAGGATGTGTACAAATTAGAACCAAACCCGACGTGTTATATTTGAATCTGATATATACTTACAAACATGTCTACTTACATATTATGACACATATGATGTGATATAAATTAGCTTTGATTCAAAATATTCGACCCGTTTCTCAATAGGTACTTGAACTCCAAAACATAACTTATAATACGTTTTATATTTTGTTAAATTAATTTTACATTTGATAAATATTTGTCTGTTTATTGGAATAACCCGTAAAATTATAATCATAAAAATATCAGTAATAACATGTTTCATCATATAATAAATATTAATAGTATCTATTATTAATATTTATTTTATCAATATATATATATATAAACGATTTTCAGACTTTATCTATGATAATTATCTTATTATGTATTGGTGGAGGTTTGAAAACAAAAATTATTATTATTTTGTGTATCAGTTACATATAATTAAATGTTAATTTTTTATATCCTAATGTTTTAATTTAGATATGTATGTTAAAATATAAAATTATTTCATTTTTTAATATTATATGGTAGTATTTTGTTATTCTGTAAATGTAATTCATCTAGTTTATAATGTATAAAGTAGATTAATTTATATTATAATTATAATTTTGTGTAATTTTTAGTTACAAATATGAAATATTTATATATAAATGTTATAGAAAGTTAGTTCTTATTCTATAAATCAAAATGAATTAATACTCATTTATAATTTATTTTAATACTATTTACGTTTTTATTATTAAAATAGTATTAAAAGAATAAATATTTATTTTTAAAACAAAATATATTAAAGATATTGTTAAAATGTAATATGAAAAAAGTAGTTAAGAGTATCTTTTTATATCTTATTTTGAATATATTTAAATATTATATTAATATTATGTTGTTATTTAATACAGTAATAACTAAGTTTGTTATATGTAACATAACATAAAATTAAATAAATGTAATGTTTTGAGGTAGACTACTTGCAAGTAGATAAAAAGTGTTTATGTTTTAATAGTATTGATGTTTTGGATAACTCCACAGAAGAATCTCAGTGGTACTCTACACCAAATACAATATTACAATAGCATGCAAAATTTATAAACATATCTACTTTCACTTATGACTACTCCTGAACATCTACATGTGCATTTACTCTCATGTAAATATATTTTGTAAACAATAAAATCGAAATTGTTATGGAACTTGGAAAATTTTACATAAGTGGCATATTAAGCATATCTTACGGAATTAAATTTGAAGTTATTTTTGGGTTCACCTCCTAGGGTGGTGAACCTCTAAGTTCACCAAACAATACGATAGTGTTATTTCATATTTGATACAATCTATATTTAAAACTTTTTAATGAATCTATAGCTTGTTATACAAGTAAATTGTCTCCAAAGGAGGATCATTTGCGCTTGTTCGTCCAAGTGTGGAACATTAGAGAACTCTCATGTTATTCTAAATGATAAGAAACATTACAAATATTATTCTGAAATTTTAAATTCATTAATCTGTATACTATGCCTTCTCTAAAACTTGGAACGATCAACTGAGTACATAAACCCTTATTTAGACCATTAAACATGCAATGTCAAGTTCCAGAAGAGAAAACGACTTTAAGGTAATCATTAAATGTGCATAGACCACTAAGATATTTTTTAGTAGGTCCCAACGTTACCTAACTGAATTCGTTGTTTCGTAACTAATATAAAAATTGGATTTGGGTTGAGAGAAAACTCTTTTGAATGTTAATTACAGTCAATAAATTGTATTTTTTTTTTGAGAAAGAACTTTACTTTATAACATAAACTGTTTTCCTTTTGTTAAAATGTAAACTAACAACAGAATAGATCCTAGTTTTATGTTAATATACTGATATATTTTTATATTTGATGTGAATGATTTAACTCAAATACTTGATGAAAATATTGTAATGCGAAAGAATGAATGAGACTTAACTACAGGTAACAACGATAATGATATTGCAACAAGAGAAAACTTAGTCCTTTGTGTTTTCTCCTTTTGTGCACTAAAACAAGAAATCTTTCCTAATACACAAGTTACTATCACGTCTCTTTCGTTGGTTGAGAAGTCGCATAAAATTCAATGTATGAAACTAATTGAAGTTTGGGAAATCATATACTTATCAAGCAAACATTAAGACAATAAATCAAAATTTGATCATTAGATTCATTCAACTAACATTCTTAATATTAACATTTATTAAATAATCATACAATTAAGTTATACATTAACTCACACCTTCTTTTTTTATAGATACACATGCCACATATCTTTCTTCTTTTTCACCCATTACAACATATTTTCTATGACTTATTATTATCATCATCATCATCATTCACGATACGATCTAATAGCAAATAAATATGCTAAACACATGAAATTCATGTGAAGTGTCTGGTTCGAACATAGTTCTTAGTCATTATTAAACAACAATAATGATCGAACCATAGTTCTTAGTCATTATTAAACAACAATAATGCTGAGTCTGTTTAATACAAAGAAAAATTTGATATGATGCTAACTCTTTATTTTTAATACTTGTTTGTTTTCTGTAACAGAAGCTACAAAAGAATGTCCATGGCTCTGCACCAAATACAACGTTACAATAGCACGGAAAATTTATGAACATATCTATTTTCACTTATGACTAATCTTGAACATGTACATGTGTATTTACTCTCATGTAAATTATTTTGTAAACAATAAAACTGAAATTGTTATGGAATTTGGAAAACCTTACATGAGTGGTATATTAATCAAATCCAACGTAATTAAACTTGTGAAAATTAATAATCACTAAAATAAAGAAACTAATCATTTTGTGTATCTAACCCATTCAATTTATATTAACACTAATTAAAATTAAGGAACTAATCAATTATTTTTATTTGTTAATAAAACAAAATGATATAACTTTGTATGATAAATATAATAATGCTCTAACCCAAAATGCAAGAAAATGATTCCTTCAAATTAAAACTCTCGTCAGATATGTAACAATGACATTTTTATAGTTAGATTAATAAGAATTAGATCAATATATGTTTATTTGATAAAATAAATATTAAAAGTTAATTAATATTAATATTTAGTGATATAGTTGAACTATTATTGGTATTTGATGATTATATTTTATACATGTTATTGTAACAAATATGCAAAATGTTTGATCAAGCATCAAATGAGTCTTCATACCCCAAAAAAAAAGGTATCAAATGCCTCTATGCTTTCTCTTGTTGTGCACTAAAACAAATTAAAGAGGCCTTTCGTGGTACACGCTGGCATATCTCTTTCATAATTCAATGCCCAAAACTAATTTGAAGTTTGGCAAAATTTCAGGAAAACATGATAATAAAGCGTTAATGTACTATAACTAAGACTTTTAAATTTACAAATATAAATAGAAACGAAAAAGAATACATAAATGTAAATTTTACATGTCATATACAGGAGCATCCATTTTTCCTTGTTCGTCCAAGTGTGGAACATTGGAGAACTCTCATGTTATAAATGAAAAGAAACATTACAAATATTGTTCTACAATTGAAATTTTTACATGTTTTATGATGATTCAAATATAACTTCACTATTCTAAACCATTTTATGGAATTCATGTTTAACAAAAACTCTTTCTATCATTCTGAATAAGTATTATAAATCTTTTTCTCATTAATATGTATAATTTGCCCTATGTAAAATTTGGAACGATCNTAACTTCACTATTCTAAACCATTTTATGGAATTCATGTTTAACAAAAACTCTTTCTATCATTCTGAATAAGTATTATAAATCTTTTTCTCATTAATATGTATAATTTGCCCTATGTAAAATTTGGAACGATCAACTGAGTAAAATCATAAATAAACTGTTATCTAGACCACTAAACATTGGAGAAGAGTAATGTCAATGTCAAGTTCCAGAAGAGAAATCGAGATATGTCTAACAAAAGAGAGAGCCTCTTTATGTATGATTAGCCTTCTGTAAAACGTAGAACGATCAACTAAGTAAAATCATAAATAAACTGTTATCTAGACCACTAAACATTGGAGAAGAGTAATGTCAATGCCAAGTTCCAGAAGAGAAATAGAGATATGTCTAACAAAAGAGAGAGCCTCTTTATGTATGATTAGCCTTCTGTAAAACTTTGAACGATCAACTGAGTAAAATCATCATAAATAAACTGTTATTTAGACCACCACTAAGCAGACCTTTCACAACATTGGAGACAGAAATGCCAATCAGGAGCCTCTTGGATCTCCAGCATTATTCTTAATTTATTTTTTTTTTCCACAAACCAATACATAAAAGGTAATCTTTAAATGAGCATAAGATATGGGACTGGCCTCTAATACATAAGAAGCTTTTATTTTATGGAATTTATTTTCAGAAAAACAAAAAACCTTTACGGTGCAGAAGAGTAAATGAAACTTCTGACGGAAGTAAACAGATCGCCGCCGTCAAAACGCTCCACCACATCAACTCCCTTCTCCTTCATCAACTTCGCCACATCTCTCTGCCTATCCACCAGCGGATCTCCTCTTACTCCAGTCACCATCACCTTCCATTCCAACCGTCCGATTTTCTTCATATTAGACGGGAACAGCTCTTCGCCGCTGAATAAGGGACTCTCTAAGATCAATCCACGGATACTTAACGGAGTTAGATCTTTCTCGATGAATCTAAGCCCGACGTTGTAAGCCACGTTACCACCGGTGCCTGTCCCCATGAGGAAGACGTTAGAAAGATCGGCGTAAGATTTGAGCCACTCGTCTTCTTCGGACTTGTTTCTTAGCCACTCAACCGCGTACACCCCGAAGTCTTCGTAAGCCGCCGGGAGTTTGTTCTCAGGAGCTAGCCGGTACGAAGGTGACGCAACGACCACGTTGATCTCACGCGCAATACCTCCAACAACCAAGGTGAAGATTTCAGATTCGACGACGCTGCGGCTGGTGAAACCTCCACCGTTGAAGTAGACAACGAGAGGAAGTTTTTTAGACGCAACGCCGCCGTTTAGTGCGGTAGTGGGGACGTAGAGACGCATCCATGATGACTTTGAGTGGTCCACGAGAATGTCTTTGGATACGACTTGCGGTAGCGGGGAGGGATCTTGAGATGATCCAGACATATCTGTTGTCGTTTTTGGGTTCGAAGTCTTGTGTTGTGTATGAAACTGATACCTACCCTTGTTCCCCTTTTATAGTGCAAATTTATGCAATATTATACTAATTATTTATATACTAGTATTAAACACAGAAGCATTTTTC